TCGTATTTTAACCCTAGAATGAAACTGCTCTTTCTCATTCAGTGTGAGAGTGCATTACAGCACAATTTAGGTCAATTAAACATTTTTGACCCCAAATGACCCCATTTTGGCCTTATAATGACTCCTTACATCAATCGAATATGGTTTTCTAAATTTAAAAAAAAAAAAAAAAAATCATAAACTATTATTCATCAATTTACACATAATTTGACACAAATAACTCCTAAGTCTGTTAGTGTATTTTGATCCCAAAGGAGCTCATTTGACCCCAAATGACCTTATTTTGACCCCTTATATCTTTTGAATACGGTCTTCTTAAGTAGAAATTGTCTCATTCAAATTTCTAAATCAAAATACATATAAATAGACACAAAAAACATGAAAATTGATCGATCCTAACACTTTTAGTGTATTTTGCCCTCAAATGAAAGTTTGTTGACCTTTTGACTTTTCCGGCCATAACTTCTTAACGGGAGGTCAGGGGTATATGATCATGTGCACTTTTTTGTTCAGTATGACGAGACAAACAATTTGACATGTCTTTTAACATAATCAGGGCATTTAAAAAAATTGACCCCCTATTGACCCCATTTTTACCTTATTTTGACCCCTACAAGAGTTGCCGGGGGTTAGGAGGGGACTACCCGAGCTAATTTTAATCATTGACCTCCAAACAACTCAAAAACACTTAAAAACCTTTGTCCCCGAAAAATATCAGCGGGGTCTACACACTTTGACTCTACTATACATACATTGGTACACAATAGAGCACCGAAGCCGTGACGTCATAACCATTAGGAGCCAGAGCATATAACACTGAGTTCCTATATTACGGAATATATTTATTCAGATGGTCATATCTCAGCCAATATTAAATTGGTTTTCGACATTCGGACATTATTTTTGATGCTCTTTCGGAAAATTAAAAACAAATTGAGAAATTCTAAAAATAGATTTTCGATGACGTCACACTTCACCATTCTATACATGCATTAGGTAAGAATACACCTCAGATATCAGGTACAAGCATGGTTGTAAAGTAAATTATGGGTAATTTAAAGTACATTACTAAGTCTTAGTGAAGTATATGACAACCAAAAAGAGGCTGGAAATTCTTCATTTTTTCAATTCGATTCAATTTATTTTGCCAAGCAATAACAACATACAGGGTGAAAAAAAACCCAAGATGTACACAGTATACAACTACAATATTACTAACAAAGATAAACACAGAAAAACACACAATCAATTTACCAACATGAATAAAAATCATTAAAAACACAAGGGAAATAATTACCAAGGCTGGTAGCAGCCAGAAAGGATTTGGCCCTTATATGTGGCTGACCAAAATAATCAAATATAAAGAGCCTTATGATTTAATTTGAGCTATAATTAAAACAAATAACAGTTACATGTACAAAATCATAACAAATCTAACAACCATTGAAATCTTTAGAGAGCACCAATTTAGGTCCATAAAATACTTGTTGTATTTACTTTTAAAAGTTTTAACAAAATTCAATTCACATATTTCAAAAGATATGGTACTCCATAAGCAAGGTTCATTATACTGTATGTTTATATGAAGTTGTATGTACATTTAGCAAGTGAAAATTATCAGCATTTCTAGTACTTTAACTTCTACCTTCTGTTTCTCCTACTTGTTTGGTCGGGGGGGGGGGGGGCGCCAGGTGTTGTCCTAGACTCGCCATTAAATGATGTAGATCCAAAATGTGTACTTAATTTACTAATTCAGGCAAAATAATTGTACATGTATTTCTAGGTCTAAGAATCAACAACGTTCTTCATCACATACTCGAGAGCAAGGTCAGAAGATTCCATTTTTTCAAGCATATTTATTTCAATTATTGTCCTGACAAGATATTTATTTAGTTATTTATTTATTCAGTCTTCTTTAAAATACAGGGTAGTCCTTTCAGAGCCACAAGGCCTGCTTTTCAAAGGAACCCTGTAGGAGGGTGACAAATTACATAGTAAACATTACAACAAATAAAAACATAAATAATACATAATACACAGTTATTTACTACTAGATATAAAACTAACACAGAACACGTTTTAGTTTGAAAAAACTTTGCATAAACATATATATATATATATACATACATAATATAAACAATAGAATCAACAAAAAAATATAACTGATTATACAGGACATGGTGGTACAGAGAAGAAAAAAAAACTTGAAGCAACAAAATGTTTCCACCTATATTATCAAATAATACAATTTTTTTTATTTTTAACATAAATGTATTGTTCAAGAGAACGATAATACACGCTATTTTTGCATTTGTTGGAAAATATATAGTATTTGGCATACTGAAATTAAATTGAAATTAAATTGAAATCCAACGTTTCCATAAAATCCAAATAAGAAATTAATTTTATTCAAAGTAAATTTATCCTCTTAAATGGATTTTGGATTTTACTAAGAAACATTATAAATCATAATTATTTGTCTGCTACACTACACATTTACCCATCATATTGCTAGCTTTTAAATAAATTCAGTGAAAAACGCCAAATCTGTCAATTCACCTGTCCCCATTCAATTTTCCTAGATTTCATTTTCATTTCATTTCATTTTTATTTTTTCATTTCCAACAAAATACAATACATAATAACGAATACAATGAAAAATGTATACAAAACATAGTAACATTTGTAATAAAAAAATCTTAATAGTAATTTATATATTTGAGGAAGACAAAAATTGAAATTTTAAATTTAACTGCAAATTTAAATTTTACACTTTGTAAGACCTTCTATTTTACAGATCTGGCACATTTTTTCTTGCTGCGGCAATAGGTCTAACTAATAGAGCGTTGATGTGATACAATCAACTCGTTAAATATTCTGACAAAGAGCATGTAATTGACATGAAATGGAAAGGAAAATCAAAAAGTTTGTCAAATAAATACCTAACATAATAACTACAATCAACTACCAAACTCCTGACAGTGCAATTCTCCTTAACATCCAGCATACACGTTATCAGTTTCAATATTTCTGATTGTAGTATATAAGCAAACTATTGATACTTGACTGTATATTATGTACATTAAACTACAACCTGATCTATAATATTAAAATGTGACTTAAAATACAACTTTTTTTTAAACGTGAAGCATCTTTCATAGGCCAGCTTTGAACCCTGTCTGAGTGTAATATGATATAATAATAATAATATTACATTTATAAATTCAATTTCATTCAATTTCATTCAATTGCAATTTATTGTCCAATATTGGAAATTTGTTTTGCTCACATGTTACAAGCGTACAAAGAATCAAAATAAGTTTACATACACAATATATCATATACCTTGACATAGAATTCTTCAGAATATTGCCATACAGAAATGTTCTTAGGTTATTATAAAACAAAATAAGTGAAATATTTTAAACTGTTCGAGTGAACGGGATTGCCCCCAAAGGTTACAAAAATGAAATCACAGAAATAAAAAAGAACTTAAAATTCAGGTAGCATTTTGATTGTATTTGCGGATTGAGAAAGGAACGAAAGAATTTAGAAAACGTTGAGTGCGACAGTTCATTGAACGAAATCGTTTACCAGAACGCATAAAAACATAGTATGGAAAGAGTGGATGATTTTCGTTTTTTATAATTTGTTGTACCTCTAGAATTATTTTGGATTCGCATGCTTCATTTAGATTTTGAATTGCACTCGTGATCTTCCCTGCTTGTTTGGTGATTCTCTGGAACTTGCTTAAGTCTTTCTTTCTACACCTCCTGTACCAGCCAACACAACTAAATAACACATCACTTTCTACAATGGATTTGTAGAACAAAGTAAAAATGGTCCTATCTACATGAAACGATTTAAGTTTTCTTTAAAAATACATCCTTTGTTGAGCCTTTGACGGACTTACACTTATCAGCCCATGATAATTTGTTGTCAATTACGGTGCCTAGATACTTGTATGTCTCAACAATTTCTATATTTTCTTCTTTTATCGTGATAGGCAATACAACTGAACAGGTGGAACTTCTGAAATCAAAAATAATTTCTTTTGTTTTGGAAGTATTATTTTGGTTGATACAAAGTGCATAAACACGAAATACAAACAAACAAAAATAGACAGAGAACATTATTTTAAGTTTTCTTAAATGTGACGTAGTATACAATTTTCTTTAAATGAAATAACTTTCATAGGCCAGCTTTAAACCCAGTAGAGTGGGGCATAGTATAATATAATAATATTTCATTTATAAAGCCCCTTTTCATTATATACAAAGTGCATAAACAAGAAATACAAACGAACAAAATTAGACAGAGAACATTATTTTACTATTTAAAGCTGACATTAATTACAAATAGAGAGGAATATTACAACAAATTAGAAAAGATGCGTTTTCAGACACTTCATGAAAACTGTGAGAACTTGGCAATTCTTAAAGACCATATTAGAACTGAAAAATGAAATGGATGTATTATATATCAGCCTTTTTTGTTGCTGCGGCAATAGGTCTAAACTAATAGAGCGTTGATGTGATGCCCTCTAAATTTGAGTGTTTTAATCTTTAAGGTATTAGTACAAAACGGTCATAAAATCAACTCGTTAAAATATTCTTAAAAAGAGCATGTAGTTGACATGAAATGGAAAGGAAAAACAAAAAATTTGTCAAATAAATACCTAACATAATAACTACCATCAACTACCAAACTTCTAACAATGCAATTCTCCTTAACATCCCGCATGCACATTATCAGTTTCAATATTTCTGATTGTAGTATATAAGCAAACTATTGATACTCGACCGTATATTATGTAATATTGTGTGTGTGGAAGACAAACTTTGGAACTTTCGTCTCTCATGTTCCTCTCACTCTCATATGACTCTCCTAGTCTATTACCCGATCTATTCAGCCTATGAGGGTTAGAGGATTGTGAAGTCACCTATGAAAGCCTGGGATCTTGACACCCCTTTTGCTCCCATGTCCTGACTAATATCTCCCCAATGGTCTATGTTTCGTGCCTGGATGAGGAGTTTGGAACTTTCATCTTGCTTACACTCGTCCGACCCGTCGGGTGTGTTACCTGCAGAAAAAAGTAAGAATGTGTCACGTCAACACAGCGATTGAAACCCACATGTAGATATTCATTTACACTATCATGTATAATAATGGTGAATCAGGGAGGTGAGATTTATTACAAGCCCTGGGTGAATCAATAATATATATATAACATATAAATGATAGTATAGCTCCTTACCACCCCTTCCCCCTTTTTTTTCCTTCTCTCTCTCTCTCTCTACAGGAGTGTGCAAGAGTTAATATATTGCAGAACAGGGTCCTGTTTCATAAAACTTATTATACAACAATTTTGCTCTCAGTCAATAAAAGGCCACAATTTCAGTATACAAATAATGCACTGTTGCATGGGAGCTTTTTTGCACGATGGGACAAACTAATACACACCCACGTGATGTCAATTGACCAATCAGATTGCTTAGATTCTAGAACCCATCTTATAATAGCTTATAACAGTAATTGTATCATATGTTAATGATAAAAAGTTTTATGGAACAGGGCCCTGCAGTGCAATATTAGAGCAACAATTTAACAACATAAAATTCATTCACTACATGACGTTCTTCCAAAACATGAACATTCAAATAAAAGTGTATTTGCATGGTTCATAGCTAGATTGCATGAACCTATATACACATGCGGTTAGTACCGGTAGGCCTATATCATAACTAATGATGTATTGGATATATGTCGTAAAGAAAGTTACCTTGCTCCTTAGTGTCAATGTTTTCAGTGGTGTTCTCTTTTGATTCTGTAGCTCCATCTCCGCTCTTCTCTTGCATCACTTCTGAAGTTAGATCAAATATAATAATGAAAATAAGAAGGTTAGGACAGAGTTTACAATGCAGAGGCTTTGCTAATAAAAGGAGGAAAGCTGCACCAGCATAACTCCTGTCGATCATATTCTCTTTTATAACATTTATATTATATATCATATATATTTCCTGTAAGAGCCTTTCTGCTAACTTGTCATCAGCAAGTTTAGCCAAACATTCCTGTATCAATAACAATTTTCAATAACTGTCATAACAGTTATTGAAAATTGTTATTGATATCAAATCCTGCCAGTTGATTGAATGAGAGCAAATTTGTCATATCAATTTGCATTACTGGTAACAAGTTTTATGAAACAGGGCCCAGGTCTTATCTCTTTCGGGCAGTCACATCCTTAGAAAAAAAGGCAAAAACGAAATGTATGTTCCTTAATCACAAATTATTTGTGCTATAAAAAATGAAAGGCAAATAAAAAAAAAAACCCACTTGGCATAATATTTTCTAGTTCTGTTCTTTGGACAAGAACAAGTGATTACAGTCTAAATGTATTACATATGATGAAGGAATGAACAATTGACAAATAATATGGAGGAAAACAATATTAATATGAAATCATGAAATATTTTGTGTAGAAAACCAATGAAAGTGTAAAGATGCATTACTTAAAGCAAAGATAAATTGTTAAACGAGGTGTATTATAACACATCAAATATATATTATACCTTCCCCGAAAACGATAAACCAATGTGGGGAAATAGGGGGGATCGTGACTTCATGTGCCATGGACCAATAATGGCCTTAAGCAGCAGATAGGTTCAAATCCAGCTAATTCCAAGATTTTTTCTGACTTGTTTTCAATTACAGATCGATCAATCGATCTTATCTACCGGTAATTGTAAGCCACAAATATGTTTAAATTTCTCCCAGGAATACATTCATAAAAATTATTGTCCTATAATGGCAGACTAATGAATATTAAAAAGTCAGAATGAATCAGGCAAGCTTTGGTATTTGTTTTTATACAACTCACTCCTAGAGCCTAATTAAATGATTGGTCATTCGCTGTCACGTGTGATTCATTTATCGAGACTATCCCACATCTTTCATGAAAAAGTGTGCTATAGTTTCCAGTACTATCCAAACAAAATTTGAGTGCATGTACATGATGTACATGATGTGCAAAAGTGCGCGTAGAGGTTATAGAGCACTTATACTGCGTGTGCATGGGCCTATTCTTGCACAGCACTATATGCGTAAATGCGCATAGAGGTAAGCTAGTGTACTTATCTCTGTGTGCGTACTAAGCATATTAAACTAGAGATTCATTCGTCAGCCGTACTGTCACAATACAATCTTGAATGAATTCTTTTTACATAAAAATACAAGGATCTAAAGGTTTTGTAGTTTAAAACAAACGATGCATGTTTTCATATGTTCATTATGTGATCTATCCGCCCTCATTGAGACTGTGTGTTTTTATCGCCATAAGCCACAAATATGTTTAAACGAGTGTGTCATCGTTTTTGGCTTTTTTCATACCTTCCTTTCCTCTTTACCCCACCTTTTACCTTTATTACAAACAAATAAAAACAAAAACAACTTAAGAGATGATTAGAACTAAAATTATAAATGGATTAAAATAAAAACATGCTACTAAACTAACTATATTATATGAAGTACTACCACGTGCATGATATATCAATTAACCATGTGGCAAAAGGACAAATTATATCAATATATGTATGGGTGTGGGCGTGTGTGAGTTCCTGTCTGTGTCTTATTACGTTGTCAGCACAAGGAACCCTAAAATGAATTGACTAGGTCAAAATATAAACAGTTAACAAGGGAGTATTACATAATAATTATGTGGCAGTAGTGGCGAAATTTTCAATATCACGCCTTATCAGCCTGATAGGTAATAGAATCATATTGGTCAAGTAACAATTCGTTCTCAAGACACCTGCTGCTCAAGGTTATTTGAACATTTAACCAAGCCCATCTGAGGGTTCACATTAGTTTATCGCCACTTGGTATGTGGTAGTGATGATAACGATGTATGGTGATCGACAATGATAATGATGATTATGATTCACTGCACTTATGATTGTGTTAAAATCATTCAAATGCGCAGATATACATGTACATCTCAGGCATTTCCCTAAATGTGTGGAGTTCTTTACCTGGCTCGTTAATGGCGATGCCTTCTTGACACAGCTCCTCAGATGCCACGTTCCTTGTTTTCGTTTCATGACCGGACACTACCAGATGTTACAGACAAAACCAGAATAAAGAACAAAACACAAATTTAGCAGCGCTAACAACAAAGAGTACTATAACATGTGCAAAACCCTAAAATATAAAGACAAAACATAAAATACATAGAATAAAAATGCATAAATGTGACATTTTATCACTGGGGGAAGAACTTTGTTTCAATGGATCTTTTTAAAAGTGGCTAGACATTAACTTCTCTGATGTCAAGTAGGATGTTTTTTCACGTATTCGAAGCATTTTATTGGCAGATGAGATTCTGGATTTGGTGATAACTAGTTTATATTTGTAGATTATCGGGGTGAAGCTGGTGTATTAATTAATACAACTTAAAGGTACTATGTCCCATTTGCAGGCCAACAAAATGAAAAGGTTAAATTCCAACGGCATTTGAAAGATAATACTAATTTAGAACTTCCCTAAAGAAAGTGGGGCTTGAAAAAGTGTTCAAGTGGGAAAATAACGACTATTAGTAGTCAAATCGTCTTAGGAGCTATAGAGCCAATAAGTAATAGTCTTGATTTTCAGACCATTGTACCGAATGGTCAGACGTTTTATGCTGCGCAAAGATTCAATCAGTTTAATTTTGGCTATCACAAGAAGTGGGTTATTGATGTAGACAAATGCTCATGTACCCTTTACAGCTCATTTTATGTTTGTTATTACCAGAGAAGAAAAAAGCCAGTCAGTCACTCAATAGTGTCTGACAGTGAAGTCTAGCAAGTAACGGGTTTCCTCGCATAATTTGAATATTAGGACACTGCTAACGTTTAAATTTCACAGATAGGACATACATGACATATTCATAATTCCTGCCAAGTTCTACAGAATTTGAGGTTGGCTGCAAAAGGGACTTAGTACCTTTAAGCCGATTATGATTCACCTCATATACCTTACACACCAACATGAGAACATAGTGTGAAATAAATATGTATCTGCATTTAAACATTCCATTGATTCAGTACTATTGCAACTACAAAATATAGGCCCCCCCTCCACGATTTTTCTGATTGTTCGAGAATGCATATGGATGGCGCCTCGCCGCTCGCTGACTTTTTTCTTTAGAGTCTTGCACATCTTTAAAAAAAAAAAAAAAAAAAAAAAAAAATCGGACCTACAGTTACAAGGTCACGTGACCTTTTGTCTTTGCATGTCAGCCCGAAAATCGCTCATTTTTGTGATTTGTGTACAAAACAAATGGAAATGTCATTTTTCCTAAAAATAGATCAAACATGGGTTATTGTGTCTTGTTTAAAGTTTAGGTGGTTATTTTGAAAGTCAAAATAGTTGAATTGTAGTAAGAAATGAAATAAAACAACAAAAACAATAAAATACATAAGTTAAAACAACAATGAAATACATAAGAAATTATCAAAACAAGAGATAACATAAGGAATAAGGCTCTTTCCAAAAAATTTGTTGTATTATTGTTCCAATTGGTCTAATGAATATATGTAGTGAAAAAGAATTCTTAAATATGAATAATATATGATTTATGGGTAAAAATGTGATTTTATGAACTTATTTGCATAAATTACCATAAATATGCAAATGAGTGATTTTTTCGAAAAAATTGAAATTATCATATTGTTCTATTCGCGGAGATCGGCCGTTTCACGGCCAAGATCTTAAGGGGGGCTGCCCCCCCCCCCCCCCGGCCGTACTAAGACCTTAAATAGCCCGGCTTTATTAGGGTTAACATATCCTTGAATAATTGAATGATTTAGTTTTATGCTTTAATATATAAGAAAGTGGGTGCTGGCAATTTGCATGGTGATAGCATATCAAGAATCACAGAAAATTTGAATTTCCTTCAAATTAACATTGTTTCTCTACATCTCATCAATACTGCCAATAAGAATAAGAGGCCCTAAAAAGATGAAGAAAGTAGGATTTTAGAAGATAGGTAAAATATGATCATGTGACAAATGTACTTCTTTATAATTAACTGATAAACAATCTTTAAATCTTACATTACCTGCCATTAACTCATGCGCATAAGCACAGAATCCAGCATCAAGAAGTTTGTTGCTCATTTCTGTAGGACTCTTCTGTATTAATCCCTTCTCTTCGTTCTCCTTCGTTTGGTCCAGGATTTTAGACAATGTTGGCAACTGTCCCAACCTAATGTTAGCCGCTAGCAGTTGTGTCACTTGCTTGTCTATTTCCCCATTTCTATACACTCCTGACAACAAATGAAAACAAATCAGATACAATTATTTAAACATATTTGTGGCTTACACCCAGTAAATAAGATCGATTGATCGATCTGTATTGAAAAACAAGTCAGAAAAAATGTTGGAACCAGCAGGACTTGAACCTGCATCTACTGCTTGCCAGGCAGCGACTCTACCACCAGGCCATCACTGGTCCATGGCACAGTCACAATCGACCAGTGATGGCCTGGTGGTAGAGTCGCTGCCCGGCAAGCAGTAGATGCAGGTTCAAGTCCCGCTGGTACCAAGATTTTTTCTGACTTGTTTTTCAATACAGATCGATCAATCGATCTTATTTACTGGGTGTAAGCCACAAATATGTTTCAATAATTGAAATTTCTCCCAGGAAGCATTACATTTATTTTTTAAAAAATCAGGTACATTAATGTTTCTATCTTGAGAATACAGGGTGGCTTTGTTTTTCCATAATTAAATGTACCTTCATTAACGTAAATGTTCATATTTCTATCCCACTTAAATTAGTACTTGAACTGATTGTAAAGACTCTTTTGGAAATTCTGATTTATGTCCTGGGAAAAGGGGGTAATAGTGGAGTTTTGCTTTTGCCATCATTTAATTATATTTAAATCTCAAAGAAACATTTTTTGGTGTCTCCACTTTGCCATGTGTCTTCACACTATCAGGGATATTTCTACTGGTCCTCTGGAAAAAATGGAAGAAAAAGAAAATTACTGAAAGAATAAGAATTAAAAAATTGTGAAAGTTCTTCATGAAGGTGTACAGATACCTGAAATGATGTCTAGTGCGAGTTGCTCCTCCCCCATGCTGAACAACGCATCGGCCAACACCAAGCGATGGTTGAATGTTGAAGAACAAACAGTGTCTCTCCATCTAAGAAGTACAGACTTCCCTTGGTTGTCTGGATCCGTGGATTGGACGTCATCAGAAACACCCAGTTGTTTCGCCAGCTGTGCCATGTTAACTCGATTTTCAACTTTTATCATGTCTCCAATGCTGATCTCAAATCCTGTAACATATACGAAGAACCGTTTGTCACTTTTTACATGCATGCACATTCTAATCCATCCACATGCAATGATGTTTGCATCCTACCCCGTACCCATTTACCACCTGGGTGGAGAGGAGCAATGTAGAAAAAAAGCCTTGCTCAAGCTTAGGCAGAAGTGTCGTGACGGGGCACGTACTGTACCCACAAACACAATTTTTTTAAAACCACAAAAGCAAAGCATTTCCTTTGCTTAAAACAATGCTTGCATATGCCCTTTCTATGCCACAATAAGATATTTCCTTTTACTGTGTCTTTGTAAAGATGTAAACATGGTAAACTGAGAAGATTCAGCACTTACCAAAATATAGTGCCCTTGCCTCTTCAGAATACCCTGCCTGTCTCAAGGGCGTAACCATTTTCACTCGGTTATCAGTGTTCACCTGCTTCATGATATAAGCAGTGCCCTGTGTCAGATTGTGGGGTTCAAGGTTGCATCTGTAAGAAGCAAGGACTGTATCGCTTATGTTCAGAGCTTTGGCAAATGGGTACACGTCGGCCATGATGAGACGAAAGGCTAAATCGATCAGCTCTACATCGAAGATATTGAATGGTTTTTTCTTGGCAAGAAGGCAGGCTAGAAAAGATAATATAACACAAGGAAGTTGCATGTTTATTTGTAATCACTTGAATACTTCTCAAATCAATTATCGACCCCTTCCTGCATGTGTACATGCTCTCTGTGAGATTTTCAGATAGATAATTGTGACATCACACGTTCAATCAAAAGTAATGCGCGTTAATTGTGCGCAGGTTAAATTGACAATTTCAATACCCCAAAGTGGGTGACATGAGATTAAATTGTCTTTGGCATTGTCATTGATAGCCAATCATTAAGTCAAACGTTGACCTTACAGTGACCTATAGCTTTAAAGGGATTTTTCAACATTGGTGTCAAATCGGTTCGGATTGTAAAGAAGGCATATAAAACAAATATACCAATTAGCATTTAGTTTGTAAGAATAGTGGAAATTATATATCTCCGGAGGGACTGGCAATATTTTTTTTTTTTTCATCGGGGCTTCGCCCCTCGGAACAAATGGTACTACGCCAGTCCCTCCACAGATACATAATTTCCACTATTCTTTCTCACAGCTTGGTACATTTGTATAATATCTTGTTCTAAAATAGATTTAACACTATTAGAAGAGATTGGCATTATAGCCCTCAAAAAGACCATTTTTGAGGTCTAAAAGACAGGTGCCATCCAGGTGACAGGTGACATAATACGTATAGTGCCTTACCATAGCATGGATGTTCATTCTCCAGAAGCTGTCTTAGAATTTTTCTTGGGGTATTTTGCTTATTTTCTCTCCTAATTCTTTCAAATTCGGAGTCTAAAGTTGGTTTCAGCAAATCGATTATTTCGAAAATGAGTTCTTTTTCTTCTGGAGATTGTTGTCCTGGGGCTGTCACATCGTATTTCTTACAGAACGCAAGTAGAACTGCTGACCCAGCATAGAGAGCATAGAGACCAATGCATAGAGTTCATCACGTGATATAGATGAGACTGTAAGGAAAATTATATTTAAATAAAAATATGATAGCAAAAACTGCAGAGGCAACTCAAGAGTAATTTCAGTACCATATTATTATATATTGAAATATTCTGATACTGTTCTGTTGGAAATGAAAAATAAAACTGAAACTGATAACATATTTTTTGTCATGATCGCACGTTTTCAATACGATGACGCAAAACACTATTGAAACTGCTTTAGGTTGACTTTTTGAAACTCTTTGCGATCGTGTTAAAAATATTATTTGTCATGGAGGGTTGACATGCAACAGAGTAAAAGATGTTTCAACTATTTTTTTTTTCAGAATGGCTTTTCAAGGATTTTCACAGGCAATATTTGAAGCAATAACGTACAAGTAATAATATCAACATTGCTGTTAAACTATTCTTGGCCTGAGGTGTTTTACGTGTAAACAGATAAGCTGTATAACAGGAAAAGTATCAGTAATAGTATCAGTTATAGTATCGGTAATAGTAGAGGAACCATGCAGGGAAAAGTACTAACAGTGTAAGAGAAGGTGTACGCCAAAAGTGCAGCAGAAAAACAAAGAGGATTAAAACAACAGAAAAGTGTGCCATTTTTCACAAGCATTTGCTTTTCTATTGGTCCTTTCCATATTAAATACTATTTTTGGTATTATTGTTTGTATGTGTTTAATATGGTTATGGTTCAATAAAAGTTCTAAATTCAACTTGCCCCCTTTGGAAAGAAAGATATACCATGAATGCCAAGACAAACATATCGAATGTCTATATCCTTTTTCTATTCAATTCAATTCGAAGTAACTTTTATTTTCATTCCATGTTTTTTATTCCATATCAATGAAATATTCAAGTAATAAATTTGTACAAACGTAATGACTTAAATTTAACAACAGAGCGATAGTTTTAACCTATACTGGGAGGGGGGGTTGGGTTTAGGTAAAGTGAACACGAAAATTTATATGTTTGTAGATATTGAATTGACATTTTTAAAACATTTAATCTTACTTGCGGTCAGGTTAGAATTCAAACTTGATCATTTGATTACCAGTATATCATTTTCATGTATTGTTTCAAATGATTTTCTTTTTTCATTTTTGTTATAATTGTTATGTCTATGTTTACTTAAATGTTCATGTACCATGTGAAAGAAATTTTTTCTTCAAATCAATACGAAAGAAAACTAGATGGAACTTTGACTGTGCGCAGTCGAAATTGATGCCTCCGTCATAGAGCAATTTTACAAACCAAAACAGAAGAAATTCTTCAAATTCAAGTTCGATTGTAATCCATTAACAAGTTCTCAGAATATCGTGATTACAAGCTATTTCTCATATACATGTATGACCCTTTGATCTTTGACCTCATGACCCCAAAATCTACTCAGTTCATTAATTGGCTCTGCAAGATACATACATATGTCTTGAGTTTGATGGTAATAATCAATCCATCGGTTCTAATGATAATGTGATCACAAGCTACTTTTGCATACATAATGAGCCCCATGACCTTTGACGGTTGACCTCATGACACCAAAATCTAATCAGTTCATTGCCTCAGCAAAATATATACATGTCCTGAGTTGAATTGAATTGAATTGAATTGAATTTATATTTATTGTCATGCACAAAATAAAATGAAGGCATAAAAATCGTTTTACAGCTCACATTTGTATATACATTTATCATAGACAGTAAGTACAAATAACATAAATAACATATCATAAAGTTTCATGGTATTCCGTCCATATGTTCTAATGATAATGTGATCACAAGCTATTTTTGCAGACATAATGAGCCCTGTGACCTTTGACCTATGACCTTGTGACCTCAAAATCTAATCAATTAATTGGATCTGCAAGATACACACATGACATAAGTTTGGCAGGAATCCATCAATCAGTTCTTGTGATAACATGATCACGAGCTATTTTTGCATACATAATAAGCCCTGTGACCTTTGACCTTTGGCCTCGTAACCCCAAAATCTAATCAATTCATTGGCTCTGCAATTAAGATACATACATGAACTAGGTAGGGCAGGAATCCATAACGCGATCGTAAGCCATTTTGCATACGTAATGAGCCCTGTGACCTTTGACCCTGTGACCCCAACATCTAATCAATTCATTGGCTCTGCAGGTTACATACATGACCAAAGTTTGGTAGGAATCCATCAGTCGGTTCTTGAGATAACGCGATCACGAGAACGATCGAGAACGGGACGTACGGACGGGACGAACGGACGGACGAACAAACCGAAAACATAATGACTCCGGCTACTTCGTAACAGAGGCATAAAAAATACAATAACTACAATGACAGATTTAGTAAGTGAAGAATGACTCATCACCATTTTCTGATTTACTGGCTCCAGGATTCTGTTCTATGGGGGATGTCATGACTTCACTCTCTTCGTTGCTGATGAAATCGTCTGAGGAAAAATGTTATACAATTTATAGTAATAATTTTAAGGGAGGCTTCATAATCACCATCATCATCATCGTCGTCAATGCTGTTCTTCCTGGGGTTTACCAAAGCAAACTTTCCCTTAATACGGATAAGACCAACTTCTTACTTGTAAGGACACCCCCAAAACTACGACATATCGAGGCAATAATCGACATAAAGATAGATGGTCTGCAAATTAGACATGTACAAAATGTGAAATATCTTGGGGTGTGGCTGGACCAGCACCTTAACTGGAATGAACACATCAACATACTTCCAGCAAAATTGCTTCAAGATTGGCACTATTGAGACGTGTATGAAAATTTCTAACGATATCAGTGCCAAGTTATTAGCAAATGCACTTGTATTACCATATTGTGACTATTGCCCTCATGGTCAAATTGCAAGGTCTTCAGAATACACTGATTATTAAAGTTGCATAAACAAATGAATGTACGTTCTTACATACCCCAAGTTCAGAAATGTTCTCAAAACTCAAGTGGATAAACATGGAAAAACGTTGGCAATTCCAGAAATGTAAACTTATGTTTGATATTGTAAATGGTAAATCTCCCTCATATCTTCATGATTTACTCTGTCTGCAACAACACATTGCTCATACTCATGAATTATAGTCATCTCAAAAGTTAGAACTGAAAATGGTAGAAGGGCCATAATCCTTTGAAGGTGCAATTATCTGGAACAACCTCCCTAGTAAAGTACGGAATGTCCTAACCAAGCAATCCTTTTGCACAAGGTATTTGAGAAAAAAGTAGACAAAACCAAAAACATAGTACACGCCAGCGCTCAAAATACACGGGGGCGATGGGCGATTCGCCCCCGTGAGCTCCATAATCGCCCCCGTCAGGTTGCTCACGGGGGCGATTGCAAAATTAAAAATCGCCCCCGTGGAATTTTAAAATAAAGATTATCTTTTCTGATATAACTTTAACACAATATTGAGTATTAATTTTCAAACTAATCAAATGGAACTTAGATGGCACTATCTCTCCCATCTCTATGAATATTACCGATATATAACGGAAGCTCGCAGCTAGTGCAGCTAATGCGGCCATCAGCAATGGCTATACTGCGCCAATAGTACCGGTGGGCACACTGACGCCCAATATCTGCTGGAGCTGGAGATGATCGCGCAAGGACTGAAACATGGAGAAGTTTTTCGTTGTGAAAAGTGTGAATCCTCTGAAATCTGGTTATTCTAAAAGATCAGCAAATAATGTAACTCGACCAGTAAATCAATATTGAGAAGAAGATCACCAAAAATGTTGCAGGGGCGGATCTAGGCGGTTTAGGGGGTTTAACCCCCCCTCCCCCCCCCCCCCCCCCCCCCCCCCCCCAGGTCGAAAATCCCATAGAGACCAATAGAGACCATTAGAAAAATTCTATTGGTCTCTAATAGTTTCTGTTGGAGTCTATTGGTTTCTGTTGGACCCATAGAATTGAC